TCTTTCTTTCTTTCTTTCTTTCTTTCTTTCTTTCTTTCTTTCTTCTTTTTGTATTTTAGGGAAGGGTCTACAGGGTCTCACTACTAGCTCAGACTCCAAGAGATCCTCCTGATTTCTGCCTCTCAAGAGCTGGGATTACAGGCCTGTGCCACCACACCCAGTCTCAATTGCCACCTCAGAGCGCCCCGGGGATGGGCCAGTACAGCAGGCCTGGGGATAGAACCCATCCCTGCCCCTGCTTGCAGGCTCCTTAATCTGCTGAGCTATTTGGCTGGCCCTCCAAATGATTCTTCAAAAAATAAAAAAAAGCTTTGGGTTACAAAAGTAATGTGGTGTATTATACTTGAAAAGAAGCCCAAGATACATAAATTTAAAAGGTAGTTTAACTATTAAAATAAGCCATTATTCTAATTCTTTATAAATTTTTCAGGAAATTTATTTTTTCTATCAGTAGTAGTATTGACAATCTTTGATTTTTTTTTTAATAAATGCTGGAGGCTAGGGGCCAGAGAGATGGCTCAGTGGAATAAGTGCTTCCCTAGCAAGTACAAGGGCCTTAGTTCAATCCCTGGTTCCGAAAAAAAAAAAAAAAAAAAAAAAAGCTGGAGATTTACCTCAGAGTCTGTGTACTGAGTTACATCGTCTTTCCTTTAAAAATTTTTAAATTTTGAAACAGGGTTTTGCAAAGTGTCTAAATTGCCTAGATTTTGGGCTCAGCATTGTGATCCTCCTAGCTCAGCCTCCCAGAGTGCTAGGGTTATAGATGTGAACCTAACAATTGCTTTTAATAGTCAAAATTTATGTCTGTATTTACAAGGCAAGAGAAAAAAAGACATTGCTCTCAAATACCTTACTCACTAGTGATGTCAAACAGTAGGACCTTTTCTTTAACTGTGACCTTTTTCATCTTGTTTATTTTCAGCAATGTCAATGCCTAATATGGGTGTTAAGAAACATACTTATTTACTTTTGTTCATAAAAAGAAAAAAATATATTCTTATGCAAAATGATAAATTCTGTGAACACAAATCTATTATTATTTTTTAAATTCATGGTCAGGACATTGAAAAGTTACCTAATGTTGCTATTGGGAAAAAGTTACAAAATGAAGATGTGGAAAAATCTGGAAATTTTAAGTTACTTTTTGTTACTACCTTTAACTTCTCCCTTTTACAGTTACTGATAGTACTTTGCAAGCTCTCAACATATCCTACCATTATATAAAACATGTTGCTCTGAGTAAACAACTTAGGTTTGAAGAAAATACTTATTTTCTAAGCTTAGATTTACATGTTTTAAATTTTCTAAAACATAGCTGGGCATGTTGGCATACACGTGTCATCCCAGCACTTGGAAGGCTGAGGTAGGAGGATCACTGTGAATTTGAGGCCAGCCTGGGCTACATAGTGAATTCAGGGTGAGCCTGGAGTACATATTGAGACCCTGTGTCAAAAAAAGAAAAAAAAATTTGTCACTAACATATAAATAGCTCTTTGGGGCTTACAGCTGTGGAGTAAAAACAGCAGAGATATCAGTACCTGGCCAATGACCTGTGTAGTCCATAGCTGTAAGGAGGCTATCTGTCTACTGGAGACCTTTTGGAAGTAAACTGGACATTCATATTGTATCAATCTAGTTTAAATATGGATTTCTTAATAAGCTAAGCTTGAGAAGGGAAAGGAATATCGTTTCACTCAATCCTCACAAAAAACATAGAGGGTAGGTATAACTAACATTTTATTGATCTACAGATGAACAGATAGGTTAAATGATTTGTTAAAAAAAAAGAAAATTACCAAGCAGCAGCACTGGTATTTTAAATGAGGTATAAAGCTCATGTTTTCCCAACTCTCCACTGCAAATTAGGATTCATACTACATATTGAAATATATGCTTGCGACTGGGTTGCAACCAGAATCAGGGAACAAATTCTGCAACGAGAATCATAAATTCTTCAGGTTTGTGAAATGAGGTTTTATACCACTATATACATTTTATCATTTTCTTAATGGTATTGGAACAAGGTCATTTTATAGTTCATCTCATATAAAACATGTTCTAAGAATAAGACAACACAACTACACACAGCACATGGCACTGTAATGACCAGAAGGAAAGCAAGCAGGGTTTCAGTGTACACTGCACATTTGAGTAACAGCTCATCTCTGTTACTTTTTAAAAGCCATTTGCTGCTTCCTAAAATGTTGAAGGAAAGATCTTCCTCTTTTAATATGATTTTACTTTATTATTTATTTTTCTTTTTTGGTACTCAGGACCTCACACTTGCCAGGCAGGTGCTCATGCTGCTGAGCTATCTCCCCAGCTCCTTAATATGATTTTAAAGGTTAAATGATGACAAATTAGATGTTGAAAAAAAGTAAAAACTCAAACAACTGTCTTCCCAAAACAAAACTCCCTGCAGAACAAGTTCATTCATGGTTTTAGAATTTCTTTTCCCAAAATATACATGTCATGAATTTCATTTTCATCTGTCGAGTTGCTCCCTGATTTTCAGCGTATGCTGAAAAAAGGAGACGGACTTCTCTAGTAGCAACTCATTCAAATTAGGAATGTCAACCCAATACTAATTCTCAGCAACACAGCAGTCTTTAAGTCAGTAAAAATTAGAAACTCCTATTAAAGTACATTCATGTAGGAAAAGATGCAAATGCACATGTCTTCTATTTTGCCAAAACTCTACTATGCCAAATTCTTCTAGACATACATCTCTCTCTCATCTAGTGATTTAACAAACTGAGTATATCATTCAGTTCTGTTATCCAAACAGACAGGAAAAACTGAGTTTCAAATAGTTACTTTTATAAAAGTATCTAGACTTTTACAGGCAAGTATGACTGCTTTTGGTACCTATGGATGTTTTCCTGTGTAACTATGGCATACACTGCTAATTAGCTATAATTAGCTATTGATATCATTGCTATTGAAAGATAAAGGAATACAAATTAAATATTTGAAAGTTTAAAAAGAGAAAAGGTTGGTAATTTTTAAAGCCAAACTATAAATTATTTATATGTTCTTTTAAGGATAATTGTAACTTCAAAAGAACACTTACTTATTCTTTTGAATAGGTGCAATATCCAAAACAGAGAAATTTTACGAGTTTCTTTTTGGGTCACAAGCAGTGTTGCACATCTATAATTTGGGCTACTCAGGACGTTGGAGCAAGAATATCATAGGCTTGGAGGGTAGGCTAGCAAATGTAGTAAAGCCTTAACTCAAAAATAGAAAATAAAAAGGACTGAGATGTTGCTCTATGGTACAGTGTCCCTAGATTGAATCCCTTGTATGGGGTGTGGGAAGTATGTAAGAAATAGGTGATGTGTATGTATCACCCCATATAACAACATGGTGACCATGTCCCTGAAAAAAATTTGTAAAGCAACACAAGAGGCATTCTAATTTCAAATCAACATTCTAGATAAGCTTAAGTACAGTATTTCTCCACAAGTCTTTTTTTTTTTTTTTAATACTGGGGATTGAACTCAGTCTTCAAACTGAATGCTGCTATCCCTTATTTTTAATTCTGAGACTGGGTGTGCTAAGTTGCTAGGGGCCTGAGCTTGTGATATTTCTGCTTCTGCCTCCCAGAGTGCTAGGAGTGCATTGTATGCAGCATCATGCATGAATGGCCTATCATTTTCTAGGGGCATATTTTAGGGGTATTCACTAATGAATTAATGCTCAGAACAAAGAAAAGCAAGAAAGCATAAGGATTTCCAAAGAATACAACTAATGGTAAGATGAATAGAAAGAGGTATTAAAATTTAGGAATAGTATTCCTTATGGAAATCTGCCAAGATTCTGGCTAATTAAGAAATTTAACTACCAGTTTATGAACTAGTACTTCTACTTGAAAGAAAAAGAATAATTTCATAAACATGTATTTTATATAAACACATAGCATCAATAATCATGTTAGAATTTCCAATGTCATTACAAAGCAAGCATCAGTGAGGTAATATTAACTGAAAGCAAAATCTGTTATGCTCAGAGTTTTTTACTAAGTCATTCATTTACTTTTACCTAATTCATGACAGAAGCACAGTTATTACTTTCGTTTTACAGTTGAGAACTTGAGGTAATCTGTGCAAGGCCACTAGGATAGTTAGTAGTGGGGCCTGACTAAAGTCTAGGGTCAGTTTCAATCTATCAGCATTTCCAGTCTTACAATACAATTGGACTGTTCATCTACAAAATAAATTTGATACTTAAAGACCAGTTATATTGAATGAAAAATCACTTTTTACTTTATCTGTTTATGTTTCTTTTTTTATTATTATTATTTTTTGTATTTTAGGGAAGGGTCTACAGGGTCTCACTGCTTAAATCCAACTCATAGTGATCTGCCTGTCTACAGCCTCCCACGAGCTGGGATTACAGGCACATACCACCACGCCCAGTCTCAATTGCCATCTCATCGTGCCCCGGGGGCGGGGCCAGCACGACAGGCCCAGGGATGGAATTTCTGGCCCTTGCACCTATTTGCAGGCACTTTAATCTGCTGAGCTATTTGGCCAGCCCTATCTATTTATTTTTGTTCTACAGAAAATGAATTTATGAAAAAGTAGAGGCATTCTAAGTAGTAAGGGAAGCTCAAGGATCACAGAAGGAGATAAGAACTGAGCTTATTATCATGGTCTTTATTTAAAGGGACTGTAACATTGTATCATATTTAGGTGCCACATAGTTACAAATTGCTATATGAAGGTATTTTAAGGCGAAAGATTTATACGATCTGAAGAGAAACCAGAATATGAAGGTATTTTAAAAATACTAATTACTTGATTTAATTTTCATACCTTCCAGATGTATTCTTCAGTATGGCAAGGGCATCTGGATAACCATCCATGTTGTAGTCTCCAATATGAAGAGTAATTGGAATTGGAATTTCAGTTGGCCATTCTTCATGCACAAATGGCACAAAACCCCACAGTGTACCCTTATTGCTGAAATCCTGTAGAACCGGAATCCACTATAGATTAAGAGAAAAAGATAAGATTTCTAAGTTATTTTTTAAAATTACCATCTGCACCAGAAACAATCCTTGAAAATTTCTCAAGATAATCTTCATTTCACCCTATTTTCATAACATGAGAAGGTATTATTTATTTTGATATACAGGTGAATGATACTCTGGGAAAAAAAAAAAGCAAGTTGCTCATAGAAGTTATCACCAGTCATCTTTGCTTGACTCAGTACCCATAGAAGCCTTTTTTAAAAATGTATTTGGTACAGGGTCTTAAGACGCAGCTTGGACTCTTAGTGATCCTCTTTTTTAGAGCCTCCTCAGGTATGCACCAACATGCTCAGTCTTGCTGGCCAGCTCAGTGCACCCGGGGGGGAATGGACGGCAGCATGTGGTACCAGTCCAGTCCCTGTGCTTACCTAAGCAAGTGCTTAGTCTGCTGAGCTATCTTGCTGGCCCTCCATAGATGGCTTTTTATCAACTCAAAGAACCTTAGGATTGAATTGATTTCATTCTCATGTAGCTGAATTGTCAATTTAAAATTTCTGTCAAGCAGAAATACAACCTAAAATAAATATTTTAAAGAATGAGAACAAACTGTGGTTTAACTTGGAACCACAGAAATGATTACCTGTTTATCAAGACAGAACAAACACTTTGGGCACGCACGGCCTCGTGGCCTTTTGAGGTATTATGCCTGCTTCTTTTTGGACAGCTCCAAGTGTTGTGCCCATGCCTGTTCTCTTAGCTAACTATGGACAGGCCTATAGTTGTAATGACATGACTTCATTCTTCAGATTTTCAGTGTTATATTAGGCTATTTAAAATTGAATAAATGTAAATAGTTAAAATAATAAAAAGTAAAAGTCCTCATATTAATGAGACACAGCAGGAAAGCAAGAAAGACTCATTGTGTTCTTTCTTCCTAAGTTGGCCCATCTGAAGAGTATCTGTACTGGATGACATTATAGGTTTTTTTTTTTTTTTTTTTTAATGTATTTGGTACAGGGTCTTACTATACAGCTTGGACTTTTAGTGATCCTCTTATTTTCAGCCTCCCCAGGCATGTACCACCATGCCTGCAACCCCAGCACTAAGGAGGCCTAAAACAGGAGCATCACTGTGAGTCCAAGCTGCCAAATACATTAAAAACTGACCTCCAAATTAAACTATTTTTGTTTTTGCCATCCTTCAAACAAAAAAGCATTATTTTATATATCACTGAAATGTTTTAATACTTTTATTTGACTGTTGCTTTCTTATGGAAATAGATGGGAAATTTCACAAAACATTGTTATCACAAATTTCTCAAATTTAGGGTTTATTAACGAAGATAATTAACTGGAAATAGCATTTCTATTATGGCAATTTATTAAGGTCTAAAATGTAAAGAGACACTAACTTCAGTAGCACATATACTAAAATGTAAAAAGATTTTCATTTAATATGACATCAGTAACAGTTACCAAAGAACTGCAGGATTTATCTTCCTTGAGAGATGTCAATGTATTTTGAGTATATTTTTATGATAGCTTGTAAACTGAAGATACAACTATCAGGTTTGTTTATATCTATGAACCAATAATGGGGTGTGACTTG